GTTTTTGTACACATGTGTTTATTATCAACCACAACTATAACTAAATGACATTTATTTTGTTTATCATTCATATTGTCTTATGTTATAAAATGTCATCCTTCACAAAAATTCTTAAAAAGTCAACTAAACCCCAAACCAATTCCAACCCATTAATCCTAAAATTTTCACCCTCAATTTTTCATCCCATTACAAACCAAAAGCACTATCATCATAAATATCACCCTAAAATTTCATCACCATTGTTGTAACATTAAGCTTTAGGCATCGTATCAATACAAACCATAAAATAAAAATAACAATCTAAACAATTTTCTAATTCTTCATTCTCAATTCATTTGCTTTGATTTTCTTCAACAATCTCAAAAGAACAACGCATGCTCATAGAGTCATTGGAGGATCAAACCAATAGAAAAATCGACAACCAAGTTGAACCAAACTCCCAAAGTTTTTGTAGCTAAAAAATCTTCTTCCGAGATTATCATTGGACCATGATGTCCTCAATTGAGTTGGATATCCACACCTATAGACCAAAGATGCAATGGGTTGCTCCATTCCACCGTTTTGTTCTGTTTCTTCTACCGGCGAATTTTTTCTTCCCATTTCTTCTGCCGCTGATGAGAAGAGAGTAAAACAAATAAAGTGATTTAAGGTTAGGGTTGTAAATTAGGATTTTATATCAAACAAATTATTGTTAATGCCAATATCGATCCTACATGGATTAAATGGCTTTAATGAAACCATCCATGTCATCAATGTCACGACATTGAAATGTCATGTCATTGTCCCGTTAATGAATTAACAGCGGGATGACATAATTACAACGAAACATAAACGTCAGTGATAAAATTAGTAAAATTAAAACTTTAGTGGTATTTTCGAACCTGAACTTAAAGGAAATAGTATTTTAAATAGTTTACCCAAAAAAAAATTGGCAAATCAATAAAAAATCCAAAGAGTGGTGGTGAGGAAATGGAGCGGTGATGAAAGGTCAAACGTCATGAGAACCAAAAATAAGTCAAAAGAATCAATTCCATTATCTCTAAATCTCCAAAACCAATCACATATTTGACACGTGTAAACTTACCCTCACTAGTTACCGTCTGATCTTCATCTCCAAGGAATGTTCCTTTTGAGTAAAAAGAGTATACAAATATATATTTCCAAATCTGCGCGTTTGAAATCTTAAAACGCAATGTAAGAAAAATCATTCAACCTTTTTCGCCAACTTTACAGAGGCACTTATTTTCTCTCAAAAAAAATATCTATTTATTAGATAAATATCTAAAATCGAATTTAAAGTTTAATATTAATTAAAATTTAAATAAAAAACTATTTGATTTTAACCGTTCAATATTTTAATATAAAGTTGAGTTTTTGTACAGAAAAAAATACAAATATTATTTTATTTTTTATTTTTGAAATTACGCACAATTTAAAAAATTTATTTAGGGTTTAAACTTTTCAATGTGATTTTTAATCTTACAATTACGAAGAGAATAATTTATACTTTCTAAATGTAATAAATTAGAGAATATTATAAGATTATTATACTTTTTCATCAATTATCATTATTTTGGGAAATTGTGTAGTGGGGGTGGGGCAAAGCAATCAAATTAAGAAGCCAATCGCCAAAGTGGATCTTTTCTTGAACGAAGAATATGCTGTCTGATATTCGGTAATTTATTTATCTTTTTTTCTGTTCCTTAGTTGCACGTGCAATGTGTCACGGATAGCTTGTTTGAGTTCGAGACGTATGTGCAAGTACTCAAAAAAGGGTTCTTGGGACAGATTTTGGCTTAATTCATACTTTAGAGAATGCTAAATATTTCGTGAAGAATCAAAGTTCGACCTCGTTCGAGAGCAGCGACGAGGATGTTGTAAGGTTCGATGGGAGTGAATGTCGAGATCTGTGAATAGGGATGGCAATGGGTCGGGTCGGGTTGGGTTTTTGGGCCACCCGACCCGATCCGAGAAGAAAGGGTTTTTTACCCGTGACCCGACCCGATCCGACGAAATTAAGGTTTCACCCGACCCGACCCGACCCGAATATATGACTTAGAAACCGACCCGACCCGACCCGACCCGAAATAATAATAATAAAAATTTTATTCAATGAAAACAGTGACTTAATTGAAAAAAATTATATATGGAGGGACATTATTGTAATTATCCCTAAATATATAGGATAAAATTATATATATTTTTCGGGTCGGGTCGAGTCGAGTCGGATTTTTTTCACCCTAAACCCGACCTGACCCGACCCGAACAGTACATTTAAAAAAAACCCGACCCGACCCGACCCGTATTGAGTTGCCATCCCTATCTGTGAATTCATAATTAAGACATGTGTATGAATATTCGTAGAAGAATTGTAAGGAATACTGGGTTTGTGAGAGAACAAACTTGACCCGGTCCATGAAAAATTTCATAGAAGATAAGATTATTTCTTAATTTAAAGAGTCAAATACTTAAATAAGGACATAATATAGATAATGGTGACTTAAATTAAAGTATATTAGATAAGATAAAGATAGAAATTTTGATAAGGTAGGATTTAATGTTAATTATCGATGTAGTTTAATCTAAGCTGTTGGATCTAGATGAGTTCAACTATTAATAAAGTCTTTTTCATCTCTTTGTAATCATTACATTATATTTTTTTTATTTTGAGTAAAATCTTAAACATTTACTCTTATCTCTCTCTTTGTTATTTTGTTTCTTTGTTTATTAAGCTTCTTATTTTTATTTTGTTCTTAGCCTTTGTGCTTTGTAGCATCTCTTGGTGGCTTAGATAGTAACGATAGTGTTTACACTTTCACGTTTTTTAACTCTTTGTGACTTGTTTAGTCTCGTTGGTTATTCACTTCTGCATATTTGTTAATTTTAGTGGGTTTATTAGTCGTTTTGGGGAACTTAAGTCCTTCCAAGGACGTGGTGAAGCTTGACTTAGGCGTCACTTTAATTAATAAGGTGTCTAAAGCGGTACGGATCAAATAGTCGAATGTTGTAGAAATAAGTGTATTAATACACAAATAAACTAATAATTAGGGATGAACCTAAAAGGGGTGATTGGGACCTACAAATTTTAAATTCTTATATATTTTAAAACTTTTTTATATTTTCTATTAAAATATGATTTGTCTTTAGAAAGCTTATAAATTTATTATAATTTAAAATTTTATAAGTTGGTCTTCATCTCTACTTATTATACTTTTTAATATTGAGAAAGTGGAATGGTAGGCAGACAGAGGTACATGTGGAAAATGAGAGGTTAAAGGAGAAAGTGGGGGTTTCACCGCAATCATCCTTTTAGCTTCACTTTTTGATTCTCTGTTTCAAGAGGAAGAAAAAATCTTTCATTGATGGCCATTGGTTTTCAACGTCAACCATATTATATTCGCACTAAAATATTCCAATTTGATAAATATATTCAACTCATATTAACCTATAAATATATATTCATATTTGATACTCTAATAAATCATTAATGCTCGAGTATGGGTTCATTTTTTTTATTGAAGTTTCAAATGTAATAAATAAGTCACTATCGATATCGATTAGACGTTAACGGCCGTAAACAAGAGTGACAGAAAACTTATCTACCCGTAAACCACTTATCTGAACCGTTGACAACCACGTTGGATTTCTGAGTTTTCGTCTTTCTCCGTTTTGCTTGCCTGACCTGCTTTCATAAGGTTCGATTCTTACACCCTTTTTTAATATCTTTTTACTGCTGAATTTCATTAATGATTCCAACGTTGGGTTTTGCTTTGGATATTTTTGTAGGTTTAAGTAATTTTCCCTGCAGTTCCTTGTCTTCTTAAATTGTGTTGTCAGCTTATTCACTCGATTATTTTAGAGTTTATTGAGTTTTCTGCCTTGATAAGTTAGTGTAATCTGTTGCCTGTAGCCGAGCAAGATGCTCTTGCATGGGTTGAATTTGAAGAACAAGAATAGTTAAAGAGTTCTGCTGGAGTAGCGAAGGAACAACGGTCATCAAGTCATTAAACGCTGCCGTTTCTATGTCCCCATAATTCGAGATGTAGTTTGGGAGTGTAAAATTATTTTATATCAAAAGAATAAAAATCTATTAAATATTGAAATGTAAAGATTAAGAGGGACAAAAGTTTTAATTAACTAATTTTTAAATTAGAAAGGACTTAAAATACTATTATACCAAAAATTTTCGGAGGGACAACGGTAACTCCAACCCACTATATAGCTTCGTGTGTGCACATAATACTTCACTAAAGATAATGGGAAGCTTTAAAGTGGAAAATACTTGTGATTCAAACAGTAGCTATCTTAACTGAGTGTCCACAATTACAAAAGAGATGATTAATGAAAATACCAGTGATCTAAGCAGTGTTTTCCATCTTCACCTTATTATTTTTTTTTCTTAGGGTTTTTTAGTGAAACTTTAAACAAAAGAGATGATTAATGAAAAAAGGGTAAATTGTGTTTAGAGATTTGAGTTTTTATTTATGTAGTTAAAGAGGTTATCATTCAAGATAATAGTCTCTCTAGCCTGATGATCAACAATCCAAATAAGTGATTAGTGGGCCGGATAAATTTTATGTCACCTATGTTAACAATTGTTATTATTGAAAAATTGATTTATTATAAATCGATAATATTAGTGATTTTTAAAATTTTAATAAAAATAAAAAATATTATTTAAGTATTAGTGATCATTTATGTAATTTATCCTAAATTAAATTTTGGAAACAATCCGAAGAACCCTTCCTCTTCCCGATTTTTAAGAAAAAGAAAAGCAAATTGAAATACAAAATTAATTCAAGGGCGTAAGATTCATGCAATAGGGTCAACACGAGTATAAAATATATTTTAAAAAATTCTCACTTGGGGTGGGGTCCATTTGGATAGCCAATGAAAACCGTACACGCCGGTATTTTTTTATTTTTATGCAAAGCTCATTTTCTCAGAGTCAGACCTTTCTTTTTATTTATTTATTTATTTATTTAATATTTCCTTTTATTCTTCTATTCTCAGGTATTAAGAATAGCAATTAGCAAACAAACAATAGCTACGACAGGAGGATTTCTCTCAGGTACTTCTTTTTCCTCTCTGATTTATCATTCACTTCTTTGTTTTTTTTATCTTTAAATTTAAAATTTTCTGAGCTTGCTTCAAAATATTCAAAGGCGATCTAGCTTGGATTTCATTTTCCTTATTTTTTTTTTCAAATTATTTTTGTGATTTTTTAGGGTTTAGGTTATGGCTTCAAAGCGGATCTTGAAGGAGCTCAAGGATCTCCAGAAAGATCCTCCTACCTCTTGCAGTGCAGGTTCAATTTGTTCTCTCTTTTACTCCGTTTCGTGCCTTGATTTATTATTCTTTTTCTTCGTGCCTTGATTTATTATTCTTTTTCTTATTATAATTATTATTCATTAAACATTTATTGAATTTTTGCTTAAAATTTCTTTTTTTTAGATATCAGGATTTTGCTATAATGAATCAATAATATTAGATAATGCATAATTGAATCTTTTACCTCTATATAGTGGATAATAATTATGTGGGGAGATGATTTTGACCATTTTGATCCATTGATCAATGTTTTCTATGTCGGTATGCCGTCACATGAATTAGTTATAGTTTTGGTGAAGATGTGAGGAAATGATTAGCATTAGTAGCTTGCATATTAAATAATTCATCATTTCTACTAAATCTGCTAAAAATGTTTAGGAGTTGAACACCTTATATTATCCTATACGGATATAAAAAATCGATGGATATTTTATTTAATTTTTACATTGATAAAGAATTTGATAAGTTTACTTGCAGATTGGTTATTCCATCAAACTATTGTTTACTTTTTTTTCATTGATATAAGGCCCTGTTGCTGAAGACATGTTTCATTGGCAAGCAACTATTATGGGTCCTCCAGACAGTCCATACGCTGGTGGAGTGTTCTTAGTCTCAATTCATTTCCCCCCAGACTATCCATTTAAACCACCCAAGGTATATATTATGTATTTTTACCTTTCTTGACAATATATTAAGTAATTGTTTGCTTTTTGCTTCAAAAAATTGCTGTTATGTCACTTAGTGTTCTGAAGAAATTTGCATAGCATTTCATATTCTGCAAGTTCATTATGTATTAACAAGCTAATTTTTTATATTGTGAATGTCCCTACATTGGTCAAATTTACTTTTCAAGGTTTGGAGGGATCTTTATATAGCATAAATGTTTAAATTCTTCATGTTATAAAGTTAATTCCTTTCCATTAACACTGTGGTGATGGTGTCTCTACAGAGCCAATGGCTTGTGCAGCCTTTGCTTGACATTGAAATGGGTAAATGTTAATTCTACTTGTATGCATGCACAGCAGTGCATGTGCATGTATGCTGAGTGTCTATTGGTTTAGTTTATGCGTGAAAGGCTATTGTTGGGTGGTTTTCAGTACCAATTTTGGTTTTACTACTGTAAACTGTGTCAGGTAAGTTTTCATTGGTACATGCATGTTGTTATGGCATATATCACATGTACTGTATACATGTTTGTTATACAACGAGGTACATTCACTGAGGGATAGAATAGAATCAATTTTATTGTAAAAAGTGAACAATGGTATGTTAATGCAGAGCCAGACTGTATCTTCTATTATTATTCTTGACTTTTTTTTTTTTCTCATTGTTTCTCCTTCTGTTCAGGTTGCATTCAGGACAAAGGTCTTTCACCCTAATATTAACAGCAACGGTAGCATTTGCCTTGATATTCTGAAGGAGCAGTGGAGCCCTGCCCTTACCATATCCAAGGTTATTGTTAAACAGTCTTAACTGCATACAAGTGCATACATCTTTTATTTTATCATATGCATTTCCATGTTATGTGTCGACCATTCCTCTTGGAGCCATTAAAGAACTGCACCAGTTTAAGATGAAGGTTTAAAAGCAAGGCTTTGATTTATCACATTTCATCCACTAGATCTGTTGTTTGCACCATGGATAATTGATACTTTGTGTTTGTTCACCGCATTTAGAATATTACCTTTTTTAATCTCATGCAACTGTTATCGGCCTTGATTTACTGGTATTTAGGTCTGGGTATGTCTTCCTTTTTTTTTAGGTGTTGCTCTCAATCTGTTCACTGTTGACGGATCCAAATCCTGATGACCCTCTGGTGCCAGAGATCGCCCACATGTACAAGACCGACAAGAACAAGTACGAGACAACTGCTCGGAGCTGGACCCAGAAATATGCTATGGGTTAGTATGCCATATATAATAGAAGAGTTTCAATGCCCTGTTGGCTTTGGTCTTTTAAAACTAACATGTATGAATCAGTATGTGTGCTGTGATGATCTTATTTAGCGGGCCGAGCCCTCCTTAACAAAACAACACATTTTCCGCTTTAGTTGTTTGAATGGACATTTGTCTTTCCCCTTTCTGCTGAAAATAACCTCTTCTTTGCCATCATAAAATCTTTTTAAAAAACCATTCATTTGCCGTCGGATGCGAAAGCTTCAATTTGCCGTACTCTTTCTTGTATCAATACTGTAGACATTAATTTTCGTCCATTCTTTTTAATATATTTAATATATTTATATATATATATATATTATATAGTTTGCAAACGATTTTTGAAAACATGTATAATATATATAGTTTTCAAAAACATTTTGGAAATGTATATAATATATAGTTTTTAAAATATTTTTGAAATCTATATAGTATATAATTTTTAAAACATTTTAGAAAGTATATAATATATAGTTTTTAAAATCATTTTAAAAATTTATATAATATATGGTTTTGAAAACATTTTTGAAAACGTTTATATGTTATATAGTTTTTAAAAACATTTTGAAAATATATATAATATATAGTTTTTAAAACATTTTTGAAAATTTTATATATAGTTTTTAAAAAACATTTTAAAATATATAATATTAGTTTTTAAAATATTTTGAAAATATATATCATAGTTTTTAAATGCTTTTGAAAATATGTATAATATAGTTTCTAAAATGTTTAGAAATTTATATATTACATATTTTTTGAAAATATTTATATATATAATTATTATTATGATTATTTTTATTTATTTTATTTCTTATTATTATTTATACTTTTTGTCAGGTCCAAAGTAAAGGTTCGGGTCAAAGCCCAACCGAGCCTGCAAGCCTGGCCCAGCAAGTAGGCCCGGTGGGAGGTTCAAATGGAAGTTAGGGTTTTTCAGCATTAGTCCCAGCGTCGCATATCCCACAACTGTCAGATCGAGATGGGATCAATGGTCAATAATGTAAGGCATTTAGGGTTTGATTAACTCTAAAAAAATCATCACGTCGCGGCCAGATCTGGACCGTTGGATCTGACCCAATTTAACGGTCAAGATCAAGTCAAAGGTTCCAGAAGCAAGTACGCCACCAACAACAGTCAAGAGACCATGCACCGGTCACCGAGATTTTCGGCCGAGGGGATCGGGACTGACCTATCCCGAAATCCCCGACCAACCAACCACGAGCGTGTTACCATGATCGTCAAAACGACCATCGGTGGGGTATAAATACCCCCACCAAGCCACTGCCAGAGAGGTATCACCACACAGAACCGAACGAAACCACAGTAAACCGAGGAACCAAAAACAAAATACCATCGCATCAACACGAAACCATAAACATAGTACTAGAACCACGATCCAGAGCCACGGCCAACAAAAATACCACAACAGTGATCCAACAACTTTACCATTATCGAACCCCAAAAAATACAACAAAGCAACCAAACACAAAACCAACCAAACCCAACTCATACACACAACAAAACCGACCCAAAGAAACAAAAAAAGACCACCAAAGTAGTAAGGACACCGGAAGTGGAACGAGCTCGTAAAAAAGGGTAAAAAGCCGAAGTCTTTTTTGTAGATTTACGTCGGAGGGGGTATCTTTTGGGTGTTTGGGTTTTGGATTTGGGTTGAGGATGTTGAGATGAGTGTTTTGAGGGTTTTGATAATTTGTTTTTGCCGCCGTCGGCGGCGGCCTGCTGGGCGGTCGGCGTCTCTCCGGTGAGGGTTGTAGAGAGAGGCCAGAGAGAACGTTTGTTCTCTCCTTTTAGTGAGAGAAGGGTTATGTGCAAATGAGGGAAGGTGGGATGAGAAAAGCCTGGCTTTGGGCTTAAATAACAAAAGTGAAACAACGTCGTTTAGCCCTCCATACGCCCGCGTTTTTAAAACTTTGGGGAATTGCAGTTTGGACCTCCATTTTGTAATTATTCCATCTTGGTCCGTTTGATTTAAATTAACTTTGAATTCTTCTTGGATTGATCTTCAAAGCTGATTTTATTTCAATTCCGTCCTTCACTTTTAATTTATGGTTCAATTTTTTTTCTCTCTTTTATTTTATTTATTTAAGTATTACATTTTTCCTATTATCAGATATATATATATATATATGTGTTTTTTTTCTCTTTTTGTTTCATTTAATTTAACACTAGTATATATATATATATATGCATATATATATATTATTTTTTTCATTGGTTTTATCATTTTTTATTAGTATATGTTTTAATTTTTTTATTATCACTTTTAATTTTATTTTCCCCCATTTCCCTTAAATTTAATATTCTATTATTTTTTTCCTTTTTTCTTTTGTCCATTTATTTATTTATTTATTTATTTTAGTTTTGTTTTTATATATCTAACATTTCTTTTTTCAAGAGACCCTGTTCACATCAATCAAAGATAAACAATTCGAATCGAGTTTTTAATTTTTAATTTTAATTTTAATTTTCGCAATTAAAGACAACCGTTAAATTAATTGGTATCGAAAGGGCTGTTCAAGGGTGCTAATCATTCTTTGACCGTAATTGACTCCTGAACCCGACACGTTTCTGGTACAACGCAGATCAGGTAAGATGGTGTCCGATCCACCTAAATTCGTTTTAAAGTGGTCGGAGGCGACTCCAATTCACTTAATTTAAGTCGAAGCTCAATTTCTGGTCCAACCGAAAGACGGTTCCGACAAATACCATTGAAAAGGAGTGAGTATCCGACAAAGTCGAGTTGAGTGAAACAATATTAAAGTTACTTGAGTTTGAGTATTATTCTATAATACGGACTTTATTTTAAAAGAATTCAAAATTTTTGTTTAAATTTAAATACAATTATCTATAATGTTATGTTATTGATTGATTTCAACTGAAACGATTCAATCTAACTATATACAATTCATGTATTCAATCTAACTATATACAATTCATGTATTCAATCTAACCATATACAATTCATGTATACTTAGGTAATTGATTTCAGTTGAAACAATTCATGAGAAAAGTTACAGTTGGATGATGAAGTTGAAGGATTAAATTACAAAAAAAAAAAAAAGTAATTTATTATCAAAAAGATTTTTTGAAATTACACATGTATTCTTAGGTGATTGAAAAACATATGATTTAAACTTGGTAAAAATACATTTAAAATGAATGAGCTATCGAAAAAATAAAGAAGTCAATGATGAAGTTATAAAATAAATTACTTTATCAAAAACTATAATAATATTTTGAGTTTTAATTTTTAATTATTCAATCTTTATAAATTTAGATTTGATTCGAACTAAAAATCTATAAAAAAAAAATTTTGGTTTGAATAATTTGATTTAAATAATTTAAATTATGAAAAAATAATAATCTAATCGAGTTTTGTTTTTATTATCCAAGGTGACAAATACGTGCAGTGGCTGATGATTTCGAGTCTTTAAATGAGAGTAGTCCAAGCTTGGGTGTTTATTGTGAACACAAATGAAAGCGTAGCCCATTATCAGCTGTCTCTTCTCTTTTATAGTATTCAACATTAAATGAGAAAACCTACAGCCCACTATTTAAATTACTGATTCTTATAAATTTAAACTATTCTAAATATATATTATTTAAAATTAATTATAAATATATATTAATATTAAAAATATTTAAAAAGGAAATAGAAGAAATGTATAAAATATTACTTGAGTTAATAAAAATAATATATATATACTCATTAAGCGATTTCCGTAATAAAAATGAATATTATTCTCCTTAAATGTTCTAGATTTGAACAACTGTATTTGTAGGATTTATGTATATTCTTAATAATTACAAAAAAAATTAAATAAATTCTATATTATAATCCCTCAAAACTATTAGAAAATCAATATATATGTATATATATATATCCAAAATCTAGTGATAGGGGGGATAGTTTGGATTTGGCATGGTGAAGCCATCATTTTCAAGTAGGCAACACATGTTCAGAGATGGGAAGTATCATGAATGTATATTCTGAAACTACAATACATAATTTGATGTCGATTGATGTGAAAATTTACATGAATAAAAGATGTTGAGAGTGTGACCTGTCCAAATGTAAGGTAAAAAAATCAAGTATAGGCTTGGATTTACCTTGGTTCAACGCAAGAGCTTGTTTAGTGTTCATATATTAACAAAAAATATTAAAAAAATTATATTAATAAAAATATAAAAATGAAACTAAATATATCAAACTAACAAAGAATATCATACTTAAAAAAGTATAAGCAATAGATACGACTTCATAACAGTGGTGGATCCAGAAATTTAAAAATAAGGGTCCAAAATTTTAATTTTCTTTTCTTAAAAATAACGGGTATGCAAAAATTGTAATTTTTTCTTTTTTCCTTAACACATTAAGTTAAATTTAACCACATTTCCAAAATAATGTTTCATAAGAATGCATTTCATAATAAATCTCATATAAAGAGTTATACCACAAGTTCAGAGATATATTATCACATTTAGCATGATGGTTAATTAATAGTTTATAGATATTCGGATCTCATCTCCTCGCAGTGGCAGAACTAGACATTTTATTTTAGAGGGACCGATTATCAAAAGTAATTTTAATAATAGCTTTATTTATTAAATCTTTTATATGTATATGTGATATGTGATTTTATAAAATAAATGTAGATTTATAAGGTGTTTTTTTAACAAATTCTCCACTATGATTTTATTGGAAAGAAAATAAAATAAAATTATTGTAGTAGATTTTGATAAACAAATTTAAAGAATTGTATCTAAAATTACTGGATTTCAGTTTTCGTTAAATCTTGAAGTAAAGGGACATCCTTTTTAAAATAAAATCGAGTGAATTGAACATCTTTTTTAAGACTAAGTATTTTATAAAATTTCGTTCATTTTAATATTTATAGAAATAAAATGATTATATTTTAAATTTAGATTCAAGTATGTAAAGTTCCACTATTTAGATCATGTATAATTGATAAGTACTAATATCGGGTGTGGAGGGGTGCTCATCATTATCCATATGTAACTTACTCGTGAACTCAAATTTTATGAATATCTTATTACATGTAGATTTAAAATTGTTTTTTAAAGAGGTTT